TTCTGTCACTAAACTCAAGTACATACCACCGTCGTTGCCCCAGAGACAGTCGATTTCGACGAACAGCTAACAGACTACTCAAGTATCCGTTGTGTTTGTAGTCTCCCGGTACAATTAGGTGTTATAGCGTCACTCAATGTCCACGTACCGATAACATGAAAGAGGATGTCAAGCTTTTGTCCCGAGAAAAAGCGATTGTAGAAACTTTCGTACTAAGGTGATAAAGTTTGAGGTGATGAGTTATCCCCAAAAGATCTCGTAGAAATCTAAAACAACGCCAATGTTGCCGCATTCAAAATGCTTTTAAGGCAATAGAATGTGCTGCAACAACGTCATTGTGCGTAAGCAAGGCCTGCTAAACAAAGATCAACTGAATACAAGAAAGGTGTAGTCTGTTATTCTCTGAACTAATGTCGCAACTCCTCTGAATTAAAATAATCCAGCTGCGAGGACATACCCCTGCTGACCAGGCAAGCGCAGGCTAGTGGAAAGAGCACAAAAACAGCCGCTGTGGGGGCGGAGGGGACAATAGAAAAACAGATCTAGAGCAAATCGAAACATTGCTTGCTTCATCGATATTGACTACGACAGTTAGACCGTCGATTTTGACTATTTCCACCGTGCACTCCACAGCAGGATGATGCAGGGCAGGTGATTTGCTCTAGATTAGAATGAGAGTAGACTTGCGTGGTATCTATCTCATTCTTTCCCTATTGCACTACCTGGGTCTGTTGCAAGGCAAAGAAGATCGGAGATGGGTGAGGGCAAGTATTGACAACAGCCAGAGGAAAACAACACTTACAAGTTCAACGACGGACCTGGAGACATAGTTCAGACATCCAACAGTTCGACCCTCGCAAGGTACGCTGTCCAACATTATTTCCCATTAGCTGATAGTGAAGTGGCCTTGCGCAGCATCTACTAAATTCTCTCCCCCAATACCCACCTTGGTTCGATGACAATGCAATGCAAGATGCTGGCGTGTCACGCTTGTTACGCAAAACCTAGTCCACATTAAGAGGAGTCTCGGATCTCACGTACCACACAGGTAACTCTAATAATCAGCTATACACAGTAGAGGGTCAAGGATTTCATACGGCATTAAGTGTCGTAAAGACCACATTACAAAGAGCATTACTGTGGTCTAAAATATATATGATTCTGTTCACAAACGATAATTGTGACTTACCAAACCGACAGGAGACGGTTCACCGACAGAAACAGCGTCGCTGGAGCTTTCATCACTGGCGGTGGAGACACTCTCCTCCGACCGCTCCTCCTCAGACTTCCGATTAAGCATCCGAAAGAATTCGTCCGTAGGCTCCAAGACGACAGTATTCAACTCGCCATTAAATTGACCCTTATCTTCATCCTCATTCGTTTGTTGTGACAGAGGCGTCTTCTGTCGCACATTTTGACTCGGTTTGATTGAGACATTAGCCTGATGCAGCGGGTAGAAAGAGGATGAAAGGAGGACTTTAAGGTCGAAGAAGCAGACGAAAAAGTCGCAGGCAAGAGTTGATATAAGTAGGCTGAGGAGTTCAAAGGTACGCATTTGCATGCAAATAAAAATAATTATCAAGAATATTGAACAGGATGACATAAAAATGGCTAAGTATATTGCATGTGGTCGGTAACCAATGCGCTTTGAAGAATTTCCCTGCGGTTGAGATACTGCAAGTTATTTTTTTAAATCAACCAAGGACTGATAATAACAACGCTTAACTGTGAGGAAGTCCCGTGTTAAACGGCTTAACGGCAATTCGACGGAGCCATTTTCAGGTAGCGGTAGCTGGACTTTGTGTAACAACCCGTAGGACAGTACATGCAATAGAAGTAAACGAGTAAGTTTGGAGTACAGAGAGCCTCCGTGAATTTGCCCATTTCCTGCACCAGTCCACATTCACATATTGCATGGGCGTATTAGGCCACATGCGTCTCCATGAAAAACCTGCAGCAGAACGCCGCCACCACCGCTACACCTACACCAAACATGATCACCCTAAACTTTGCCTAGTACATGCCCTCAAGAGGACCGCTCACTGAAAGTTAAGTTAGACCCTCAGCCCCTTCTGCATGTGGTCACTCGGTTACATGTGCGATCAAAAGCCAGGACAATCGCGATTTACCATGACTTGGAAGGCTGATAACCGACATTTATACGGGACGACTTCATCAGCCCGGTGTGTGTTGTGTGTTTAGAGGCTGATCAGCAGAC